TCTGAGGAAACAACTCCACACACGTACAATATTTCTACTGAGCATGCTGTCCTGAGACAATTCAGTACAATGCAGCACGTTATAGAGAGATGGTAATGGGAGAGGAGCGAGGAGTAAGGGGTGGAAATAGCATGGATTTCTAGATTAATAAACATGTGAAGTAAGCTGAGGTACAACTAGCACTGGCGCTTGTCGGCGTGGGTTTTGTCTTCCTGAAAGACTGACAGTACAGAGTAGATCGGCACACAGAAAAAGAAGCGCGATGCAAAATAATCTGTTAGTAAAGGTTTTTGTCAAGATCCACGAGTTGCTTGTACATATCCATTACAGAGGGGTAAACGATGTCGGGCACACAATTTGCTTGACCTGGGGTGCGGCGGGTTTTGGCCAGCAGTCCGTCATCTGTCACTCCAGTCATCACGGCGGCCGTGTATAGACCGAAATTATTACCGAAGGCGATATCCGTGTCAAGTCTGTCGTAGAGTAAAAAGAAATCAGGCATGTAGATGCGTTCACAGTATTTTATCCGCTGGCTTTTGTTAGACATACCAACCGTTAGATAGCAGAATGTACTCTGCGCACTTTCAAAATCAATAGCGGCAGTACTACTGCAATGCACGGATCCTCACTTGGTGAAGCCTACTGCTATAAGGACTAGAAGATAAAATGGACTATTTAATGATGACTTGCAAAACGCGGGAGCATCACAGAACTGGAAAGCGGCAGTCAGTTGCCTGTTCTACTCAAAGCTCTATCACGCATACAGGGAAATTTATGTTCGGAAACAGAACGGAACATATAGGTCGCGATGACGACGTACTCCTTAAGTTTTTTTTTTTATCATTTTCAGGATTTCATCCAAAAAATGACTTGGAGTAGCGTCCGCGTCGCAGCTGTTAACTGCATACCCCGCGTTAGGGTTAACCACGACAAGTAACTAGGCAAAATACACATTTGGACGCGAATCCTGACTCGTACGTAGACCACGGCAAGAGATTGTCTTCTCTGACCGAATACATTAGATAAACAGGTAAATTCGTCTTCCGTAGCTAGTTAACAGTCCCACTGTTGGTTTCGGCGATGTGTACTTCTTCATAGCGTAAACACACTGTGGGCTGATTGCGAGGTCTGCATGTAATTGTCAGTTGGCTTCTTTCCACGCAGCAGAGCGTTCATCGCTTAACTTTGTAGTAAGTCTCAAATTTCATTGTTTAGCGAAGGT